AAAACAATTTCTGATTAACGTTTTAAATTATACAGATTCAGGGGCCATTGACCAAAACTGTTCTGTTCACTGTAGACTGTTCTCTAAGTTTTCTGCTTTATAATGGCAGCAAATTAACTGTTATTGACAACATTACATAATAATAACAATAATGGTTGAAAACACACTTTGTGCAGCATATATGTTTGAGGCGTTAGCAGAGTTCAAATATAGAGCATTACATTGGTGGGTCATCATTATTGTTAAAACACAGAACGGGTGCTGCGAACAGTACATTATACAGTTTGTTTTGTGAACTCCACTGTCAGTAAGTCAAAAGGAGCTTATCATACTACTGATTGATTGTTGACGACATCAAACTTTACATTTTTTACTTTTTCATGAAAACTGATTGATTTGACTGGTTGGCCCCATTGGTTTAGTTGTCTTACATGTAGGTGCCTTGAAAAATCTGATCATTTTGATTTTTAGTACACAGTACCTGAGATAGGCTTCTCTCAAATTTGCTCATTTCATGGAGATTGGGTATCTTTTATTTCTCTAATTTTAATGAATATTCTTGTAATTTTTAGTAAAAATTATACTACGACTTTTGTATTAAATATATAGGTACATTGTATCCCAGATGGATCTCTCAGATTTGTTCAGATTTCCTGAAAATATTTTCAGTTCTCTAATTTTGATAGAATATTTTGTAATTTTTGATAAAATGTGGCATTTTGACCATCCCAATTGCTTTGATATATTTTACATGTAGACCTTTTGGGTAGACCTCAGTCAGATTTGTTCATTTTGTTACGTCACATTCAGTTCTCTAATTTTAGTCGATACTTCTATCAATTTTGATTAACAATTTTGACTACTTAACTAATATGTAGGACCGCTCAGATTTGTTGATTCTTGATATCTTTAAAGAATTAAAATTCAAGCAGTATTACAGAGTACTATAAACCTTTTCCATACAATGTTTTATGGGCGATTAAATTATGTTGTTTTTGTGTCAGATGTATAATAAATAATAATATTTGGTATATATTTATTTTTTTACAGAAGATGTTGATGATTCATGTACAAGATCATGTAGTCCAGATACTGTATCCGTTGCATGTCAGCGTGTTGTGGATCAGGAATGTTTTGGTATGTTACACTATTAGCATTTTGGGTAGGGTTGTAAACAAAACATTTAGTAGAAGTGAAAGTTTCACTGAAATGTTTTGGATGTATATAACTAAAATAACTTTCATACGTTATATACCCCCTTCTGCAAAAATGTAATACAATGAATGAGTAAAGACTAAAGAACAAAAAAAGTACTCACTACAATATTTTATAGGATCTGTTTTCACCCTTAATTGTGTTATAATTATTACTATGGTACTCACTACAATATTTTATAGGATCTTTTTTCACCCTTAATTGTGTTATAATTATTACTATGGTATTAGGCTGACACATGTTTGCAATATTTATATGTTTGAATCTTAGATGTCAATGTTGATAATAAATTATTTGTTTCAAATTTCTTTTTATAGTTTTAATTGGAATACTTGATACTAAGTATGAAGATAATAGCCAAACCTTTTACGAAATTAATGTGACGCAAGCAGTTGGACACCAAAAACCTCCTGTTAATGGATCTCCTGTGTATCTTTATGGACCATCTAGAAAAGATGATGGGTGTCTTTGTCCGCCAATAGAAGAGATAAATAACATGTATGTTATATTTGGGTCAAAAGATAACTTCAGATTTATTGTTGAAAACTACAATTTTGCAGCTATATTAGATGAAGATATGTCAGAGCAATTGAAGAGAGAATGTGCTATATACTTTAGCAGTAATTAAAATAGTGATGAACAGACAGAGAAGTTGTGCATTGTGGTTTTCAATGACATATAATATATATAATATATATTTTGTTTAAAAAGTAAACAACAATAATGGTGCTACATGTATATCGGATTCTTAAAGCACTATTGAACAATTTATGTATGTTATATTTAAATAAGTCAATCATGAATTTTGTTATATTTATTGCAGCTGTTATTGCAATGCAAGGAAAAAAAGACATTTTTTATTCTTTTAGTCATTCACAAAATTGAAACACATAATTTTTCCGTTTGTTTAAAAAAAAATGATCAAGATCAGTAGCCATAACAAAATTGTTTGTTTGATCCAAAATGTGGAAAAAAGTTGTGGTGTTTGAAGACGTAATAGTGTCTCTCACATAAAAGAATTATGCAATCAATAAGATTTATAATGTTTTAAGCTTCACTGTGATTTCATAAAGGGCATTTTAAAACTATTAGTTTCAGATTCATTATCAAATCATTTTGATCTCTTAAGCAATTAGAGAATACCTAATTTGCACCTTACTATAACTGAGGGCAGCTATTGTGAATATGGCTTGAATAAAGAGACCAGATAAGAAACATTTTTTTTTTCAATTTTCTCCAAATCAAGAGAAAAAAAAACAAACTTTCACAGCCAAATGACCCATTGAGGTAGAATTAAGCCAACCAATGAAAAAACAATGATTGTGATCAAAATTTATTAGTGATTGTTTTTTTTTATATTTCATACCAAAACGTAATCATGAGTGAATAATAAGAAATGCTGGTGGAATTCTGATTCATAACATTTTTGTAGCCAACAAATTATGGTCAAGGGAGGGGGAAGGGGAAGTTGGATTGGAGTTTTTACTGTTACAGTAATATTAATTGAAGAACATGATTATTAAATAATGTTATAATGATAAATTCATTGTTTTTGTTATTTTGTGTTCAGCAAGTATTCAATCCTGAATTTTGAATGTTATTCCTCGTTCAGAAGCACTTTGAAAACGCAGAGTAGACCTGTGTGCGCGTCTGTCTCGCCTTGTATCCATTTGTTCGTACTTCTGTGCATGCTTGTGTCCAAATCTATATCTTAGACATGCCTGGACTGATTACATGGCATACATAATATGTAGATCAATTTGTTTCACGATCTGATTCAAAATGGCCAAATGACAGTCTTTTTTTATACTAATATCAAAAAGAGTGAACACAGCCTTCTCAACATGTGTCGCCCACTATACCTTAAACTGCTTAATTTCCTACTGCTAGGAATTGTTATGACTTGATGGCATTGGTGACAAAATTGTACAGGAGTTGCTAATGCTGTGGTAACATCCCGTTATGACTTGATGGCATTGGTGACACAATTGTACAGGAGTTGCTAATGCTGTGGTAACATCCTGTTATGACTTCATGGCTTTAGTGACAAAATTGTACAGGAGTTGCTAATGCTGTGGTAACATCCTGTTATGACTTGATGGCATTGCTGACAAAATTGTACAGGTG